GGACTGAAAGGGTTTTGAAGGGGACTGAAAGGTGTTTTTGGGGGGGGACTGAAAAGGATTTTGGGGGATTCACAAGTGGCTGGAGGGGACTGAAAGGATTTGGGGGGCTCCCTTGCCCTGCTAAGCACGGCAGCAGGGATTTCTCTGGATTTCTCTGGGCTGTGCATCCCGGGTACCACAAGAACATCCCTGCTCCCAGGCGCTCCCCGCCCGGCCCGCGGGGCTGAACGCCGCAGGTTGCCAGGAGCCGCTCCCGGCTCCTCCGCTCTGCCAGCCCTGCCGAGGGGATTTCTCAGGAGGCCGCGGCTGGAGTGCCACTGAGCGGAGCTGACATTTCCTGCCTCGTGCGAGCCACCGGCGCTGCCGGGAGCGGGCAGGCGGAAAGGGAGCAGCTGCGCGCTCCGGCTGCGCCCGGCAACGCGCCGTGACAGCGGCAAACCTTGTCCCCAGCGCGGGGACACCCGGGCGTGGCGTTTGCCGGGGATTCAAAGACGGGATGGGCAGAATCCGCCCGAGCCGCCGCGCAGCCTTTGGGAATCCCCGCTCCAAAGGCAGGCGCGGGGTGGCACCGCCCGCGCAGCATCCCCGGCCCGGGATGTCGCCAGGGATTGGTGACACCGCGGGCGCGGCGGGTGCGGGGCTGGCCTGGGCACCCGCTGGGTGCGGGGAAGGAGCTGGAAAGGAGAAGGGCTTGGGAAAGAGGAAATGAGCCCAGGCAGGACTGGGGGAAGGGGGAAGGAACCCGCAGCCGCCCCTCCGGCAGCAGAGCCGCGCAGGGATGGAATTAAAAATTAACTGGTGGAGGCAGCAGCGCTGCTCTGCCCCGGGGGGTGGTGAGATAAGCAAATAAAAATTTAAATAAAAAATGGAACTGAAAAAGGAAAGAGAAAATAGAATGATGAATTGAAGGAAAATGGAATTTTTAAAAAAGAAAATAAAAATATAATTTTTAAAAAAATCAAAGAAAATTAAAGTAGAATAAAAATATAAATAAAAAGAAAAATAAAAAGAAAAATTGAATAAGAATTTTAAAACATAATTTTAAAAAGAAAAAATAAAAGAAAAAAAAATAATAAAATAAAAGAATAAAATAAAAGAATAAAACAAAACAAGGAATAATAAGTGAAGAAATTAATAATAAATAAGTGGAAAAAAAGGGAAAAGGGCAAAAAGGAAATAAAACATAATTTAAAAAATAATGAAATTAAAACTTAAGAAGTGAAAATACTGAAATAAAAATAGAATAGATTAGGATAAATTAAAGATTAAAAATTATTGGCGTTATTTATTATCCTAACATTAAAATAATCCAATAAAATATATAAATAATAAATCAGAAATTCGAGTGAAATAAATTACATGTCACATTAAAAAATCAATACCAAATAAAGTAAATTAAAAAATTAAATCCATTCAAAAAAATCAGGCAGACCCTTTCCCTTGCTTCCCTGGGATAAAGAACATTTGGCAGCTGGGGGGGCTCCAGTCGCTCCCTGAGCCAAATCCTGTGGGATCTGGGGCTTCCCACGGGGATTTGGGGGTCCTCCATCACCCCTGGCTGTCGCCAGCAGGGGCTGAGCTGCCCGTGCAGCGGGGACACCCCGCAGAGGGAATTCCCGGAGGAAAGCAGCGATCCCCAAAGCGGTGCCAGGGCCGGGAACCGGATCCCCGGGGCAGCCTCGGCCAAGGTCGCGCTCGGGTTTCCCTCGCTCTGCCCCAGCCCAGCCGCGTCCCAGAGCACCGCGCCGGAAAGCTCCGCTCCGGGCGCTGTGGCTTTCCGCCTCTCCCAAAACCCAGAACCTCCCAAAAAACCCAGAGCCCGCCCGTGCTGGGTCAAGCTCCGGCGGGGAGTTGTGCCAAGGGATTTAAAAATCAGGCCCTGACACACGGGATTTAAAAAAAGAAGAAGGAAAAAAAAAAAGTCATGTTTCTTTCCTTGTTTATCCTCTTTTTTCCATGACGGCTGCAGGGATTTTTGTTGGTTTTCCGGCTGCCGAGCGCTCCTCAGCAGCTTCCCGCTGCCTTGGTGGCGGCGGGGCCACCCCGCTGCTGTCCCCACATCCCGCCCCATAGGGATCAGAGCGATGAGAGGAGCACCGGGAATTTCTGGGAGGGAAATCCCGACCCAAGGGCTGCCCCCCAGGGCTGGGATGGGGACACAGCCCTGGGACAGCCTCTGCTCCTTTGGGGACGGATGTAGCGGGTCCTGCTGCATCCGGGGGTCCCTGCGAGGGTCCCCCCGTGGTGGGGACAGCCCTGCCCGTGGCAGCACAGGGGGAGCCCCCCAAGTGGGAGCGCTGCTTGGGGTACCCAAAACACGGCTGGGGGCGTCCCACAGCACGGGGGGAAACCTCAGCCCCATCCCGGGGGGTCCCCAAATCACAGCACTGCTGAGGGAGCCCCAGAGTGCTGAGAACTGCTGGGGGCACACAAAAATGTCCTGAAAGGAATCCCCAGAGCGAGGCGGGTCCCAAAACCGCAATGGGGGAACCCCCAAAGCAAGGAAACAGCAAAGCCACCCTGGAGGAACCCCCAAAGCAAGGGGGATTCCAAAGCCACCCTATGGGGAACCTCCAAAGCAGATGCACTGCTGGAGGGGTACCCCAAATCTACCCTGAAGGGGAACCCCCAAAGTAAACACACTGCTGGGGGGACCCTAAAGCCACCCTGGGGGAATCCTCAATGCAGGGCGACTCCAAAGCCATCCTGGAGGGAACAGCCCGAGGGGTGACACCCCAAAAGGGGATCCTAAACCCGCCTGGGGGTGAGCCCCTAAACCACATGCACTGCTGGGGAGCCCCCAGACCATTCTGGGCAAGCCCCCAAAGCAGGGAGGAGGCTCTAAGGCCACCCCGAGGGTGGTGTCCCCTCCAGGGACCTGTTGGGGGGACACCCCGCAGCCCCCCTGGAAAAGCGGCGAGTCCCTCGGGATGCCCCCGCCCCGAAGCTCCCCCGGCCGCCGCGGGGGCACTCACATGTCCTTGGCGGGCAGGTTCCTGCCCTCCACGATGCGGATGGAGAGGGCGCTGCGCCGGGCCATGGCGGGCGGAGCGGAGCCGAGCGGAGCCGAGCCAAACGGCGCCGAGCGCGGCTCGAACCCGCGGTCCCCAGCACAGAGCCCATGTGCGGGCCGGCGCCGGCGCCCGCCAATCAGCGTGCGGGGGCGGGGAAAGGGGCGTGGCCCAGAGCACATCCGCGGCTCCCATTGGGTAATCCTATCGGCAGTCAGCCAGGGGGTGTGGCCTGTGCTGGTGGGCGGGGCCGGGCTCCCCGAGCTGCCGGGGTCCCGCGGGGTCCTTCTGTCCCGCTGTATCCCCCCGGTCTGTCCCCGCTGTGTCCCCGCTGTGTCCCGCTGTGCCCCCGCTCTGTCCCCGCTGTGTCCCTTCGGTCCCCTCTGTATCCCCTCTGTGTCCCCCCTCTGTGTCCCCTCTGTGTCCCCGCTCTGTCCCCGCTGTCCCCTCGGTCCCCTCTGTCCCTCAGTCCCCGGCACCGCCCGCGGCTCCCGGGCAGTTCAGCCCAGCCTGCCCAGCCCGCCTGGGCCGGACCAACCCCCCCGACCCCTCCGCGCCCCCGAACCCGGGGGGGCAGCAGCGGCCGCCCTGCTCCGCACCCCAAACCTCCCCCATTCTACTGATTTTTAACCTGGGTTTTTTTGTTTTTAGCGCACTCCGCCTCCGGCCGCAGCGCACCCGAGGGCAGGGCGCGTTTCTGGGTGCTTGGTGCCCTAAAGAGCAGCGGGGGACGGGGAACCCCCCCATGGGGAGACCCACCCAAAGCTGGGGCTCAGGGCCGTGCCGCCCGAGATGGTCCTTGGCATTTTCGCCGCGGGGACACCGTGGGGACGCTGCGGGGACACGCTGGGAACACACCGCTCTGTTCCTGCAGCGCTGCCCCTCTGCCTCCCCCGCGCAGGGGGACAGCAAGGGGACAAGGTGCGGTCCCCGCCACCGCCCAGGAGCCTCCCCGTGTGCCAGCTCCGGCGCCACGGGCGGTCGGGGCCACATGTGCCACCTGCAGCGACACACGCGTGGCAGTGACACCCCCAGAGCCCTTTGCAGGTGAAGCAGTTGTTTTATTTTATTTGTTTTATTTCGGGGCGCGGGGTGTAGGGCATTTGTTTATTTCGGGGACAGCGCCGGCCTTTGCCGGGTGGAACAATCCTGCTGCTCCCACGCTGATCTCGGCAGGAGTTAATCGCTGGATTTGCTTCATTTCCCTTGGCCGGGCTCCACGGGGGCGGCTCCGGCAGCGGGGGGCAGGCTGCTGGCACCCCCCCGGCGGCGCAAGGACACCCCGAAAGGGCGCTGTGACCGCGCTGCGCTGGCAGGGTGATGCTGCCCCTGGCGCGGGGAAAACGGGGCTTTTAATGTTCGTGTGTGATGTGCGTAGGGACACACGCCTGGCCCGAATCCACCCGCAGCGGGATGGTCCCCAGCACCAGCGGGGTCGCATCCTGCCCGGGCTGCGGGACCAGGGCCCGCACAGCCCTGAGAGCAGCACCAGAGACGCGCACCCCGCTGCAGGGTCAGCAGGGATGGAGCCGATCCCTTCCAGCCGCTGGAACAGGATCAGCTTCCCCTCCCCGCCCCAGGCCACCCCTCACCAGTCAGGATCAGCCCCACATCCCCCAGATCAGGCTCAGGGATATCCCGTGTAGGATCAGCCCCACATTCCCTGGATCCAGCCCAGGGACATCCCCTGGTGTAGGATCAGCCCCACATCCCCCAAATCGGGCACAGGGACATCCCCTGAGTGCAGGATCAGCCCCACACCCCCAGATCGGGATCAGGGATATCCCCGGTGCAGGATCAGACACCCCGGGGTGCCGGCGCCCTTTTGGGCTCTCATGGCTCTCAGAGGAACCCGAGCTGCACCCGGGACGGATTGGGTCACTTCGGGGTGTGGGAGCCCCTCCTCTGGGCTTGATCAGGGAGAGAGCACTGTGGGATAAAAGGGGTTGGAGAAGCACCCCCCACAGCCACCCCACCTCACGGGGCATTCCTGCCCCTCACCGCAGCAGCAGGGCTGGGGGTCAGGCTCCCCTCTCTGCCCTGCACCCAGGGGGCTTTTCCCCGTCCGAAGTGGGCACAGATCGATGCCCCAGCTGGGTGTGACAGCGTCTCCCACTGCAGAGCATCCCGGGCACGCCCTGCTCTGCCAGCAGCTCCCTCCACCCGCGCTGGGGCTCACAGTGGGGTGCAGGGCCCGTGGGGCTTTCCGGGGGGCTGCTGGGGACATCGAGGGGTCACAAACAGGCGGCACAGGCCGGGCACAAAGCAAGAGGAAAAGCCTTTAATGTCCCTCTGCGCCGGGGGCGGCTCCGGCCGTGTCCCCGCGGCGGCGGGCTGGTGTCACCCGCGGGGACGGAGCGGTGCGGGGCATTCACCCCGCACGGGGGGCGCGGGGGGCGCGGCGGGGGCTCAGAGCCGGGCGGCGGGCTGGTCGTAGACGTGGTGGGTGTTGTACCGCCGCACCGTCACCGACTCCGGCTTGCTGAAGGAGCTGCTGCCGCCGCAGGAGTCCGAGCTGGGGAGGGAAGGCGGGCCGGGGGATGAGGGTGGGCACCGAGCGATGACGGTGTCACCCTCGGACACCGCCGGACACCGCCGGTCCCGCGGGCCCAGCACGCCCAGGTGGTGGCACTCACCCCCAGAAGACGAGCATGGCCACCAGCCCGGCCAGGAGGATGGCGAAGAGGATGGAGATGATGGTGGCGATGGCGATCATGCCGGCGTTGTGCCCGCCGCTCGTCGTGGGGATGCTGCTGGGAGATTTGGCTGGGGAGGGAGAAGGAGGAGAGGAGCAGGATGGAGGGACACACACCCCGGAGTGGCTCAGGGGTCCGGAGGGGTGACAGTGTGCTCGTGTGTGCCAGCCCAACGTGCCGTCACACGGTGCCACGAGTGACACCCGCGGCAGAGCCCTGCCTCAGTTTCCCCAGCTGCTCACAGGAGCCCTCACCCCAAACCTCTGCTGCCCAGCGTTCAGCCCCCTGGGGCCACCCCACACGCCCAGGATCACCCCGTATCCCCCTGTGGGCTGGGTGTGGGGCAGGACGAGCGCCAGTACCTGTCCTCAGCATGATTGGCATCGACCACTCCGTGTCAGCCACGGGCACGGCGCCCTCCAGGGCGAGGAACTTCACCCTGAGATGGGAAGGGAGGTTGGCCACGGTCCCGTGGGCCGGGGGGCAGCCCTGGAGGGGGCAGTCCCTCGAGCAGGCTCACCGGTAGGGCCCGGGGCCGGGCAGGGGGCCATTGCACGTGGGTCTCGTCGTGTCCTGGGCACAGCTCGTCTCGCTGCCCACGCGCAGCACCGTGATGTCCCCGGGGGGTTTGGGGCAGGGGTAGCTGCTCAGGGTGGCATTCAGGGTCATGTAGGCACGGACGGGATCAGGGAAGCTCTGGAATGCGGTCTCGGGAGTCCCCGGGACCGCGCTGCTGCTGTTGAAAGCGGATGCATCTGCAGGGATGGGGGTGAGGATGAGGATGGGGGTCAGGAGGGACTTGGTGGGGGGCTCAGGGACCCCTGCACGCCCCCTGCCCTGGGCTGCTCGCGCCTACCCTTGTCCAGGGCCACCACCAGCCAGATGACGGCGTTGCCGTACTCTCCGAAGACGCAGCGGGGCTGCTCCAGCACGAAGGTGGAGGCGGTCGTCAGCCCCTCCAGCTGCTCCTGGGTCAGGGCTGGCCTGGGCCCCAGCCGGGCTGCGGTGAGAAGCCGGGGGGTGCGGTGGGGATGTGGATCCCCCTCAGCAGCCCCGGAACCGAGGCTCTGACCGGCGGCCGCGGTGCCGGGGCTCGGGGTGGGGACAGGGACAGGGACAGGGACAGGAGGAGCCCGGGGATTTTGGCAGTGGGTCCTCTGCTCCCCTCCCATCCCCAGTGTGGGCTCAGACACACGCTGCGTTAAAAGAGGAAGATAAACATCCCATGCTCCCAGCCTCGGGGGAACACCCGGAGGACCAGGGTGGGTGACACCAGAGACATTTGGGGTGGCACCCAGAATGGGGGGACATCAGCTGCCCTTCGCCTCCAGGTTCAGGGGAGCCCTGGTGGACTCCAGAGGGGACCTCAGAGAACCCACACTGTGCCAGTTAACCAATATCAGTGACACCAGAGACTGGAGGTGACACCATAACAGGCCCCAGAAATGGGCACATCAGCTGCCCTTCGCCTCCAGGCTCCGCGGGGTCCTGGTGCCTGTGCACAATGCCCGTTCCAGCCACAATACCTACATGGTAGCTTTAAATAGACAGCTCAAAGAAAACAAAAAACTTGCGGCCGGAACTCAGAGTCCCCTCGCAGTGCCGAGGGGAGTCCCGAGCCCATCCCGATGGCGTGGCTGGACTCACCTATGCCGTGTGCGGCGGGCAGGAGCAGGAGGAGCAGCGGGAGCATGGTGCGGGCTCCTGGGTGCCGAGGGCGGGAGTGCGGCTGGGGCTCCGCGTCCCCCGGGAGCCGCCTGTGGTCACCAACCGCCCACATTCCTGCAGGGCCGCAGCCCCGTGGCAAACAGGTTGGGCTCGTTTCCCCGGCAGCTTTTGTTATGTTTGAGCGCCCGCCGGCGAGGCGTGCTGAGAGCCGCTGCGTTTGTGCCATGGGTGGGTGACAGCGTCACCCGGCACAGGGGACATCCCGTGGTGACGCGCCCCACGCACCCACCAGTGCCCCCCACACCGACACCAAGTGCCACCAAGCCAGGGCCAGACATGGTTTTTGAGGTCCCCCATCTTCACAGTCCCACCCTGCGTGGCCAAAGACCAGGAGGAGACAGCTGCAGATGGAAAATCAGATTTTACTTGCCAGGACAGTTCGTGTCTAGTGCAAGGTGTCCCTGCCCGTGGCAGAGGGGTTGAAACGAGCTGGGCCATTTATGGTCCCGTCCAGCCCAAACTGTTCCATGATCCTCTGACACGGAGCAGGGGGCTGGGGGGCAGAGCAGCACAGCCCTGGGGGGCCGCACCCGCAGCCGGGGGGCAGGGGCTGGGGCGCGGCCGGGGGGATGTGGTGGGTCCGGTAGGATCTGCGGATGAAGGCGTCGGTCCCCAAGCCCTGGTGGCACCGGGAGCCCCACGCCTTGGCACTGCAGGAGACAGAGGCATCAAATGGGGTCTGTGGGGCTCTGCACCAGCCACCCCCAAGGAGCCTTTTCTCCTGCAAACTCCGGCAAACCCCCAATTCAGGAATAAAAAGTCTTTTTCAATGTTAAAAAGACCTCCATTTCCTTGCTGATGTGGTTGCCAAGTTGAGGCGCTCTCCTGAGGCCCCTGCAGACGCTGCCCCCCGTAGCCCCCCGTACCCCAGGGCTCCGAGCACGGCGGTGGCCAGCACGGCGCCCAGGCTGGCCAGGATGGAGGCGATGACCACCACGGCACTGCCCCGGCGGGCGGGCACGGCGGCGATGGCGCTCGGGCTGGCGGCTGCAAGGAGGCGGGATGAGGGGTACGGGGTGGGCGTGGGATCGGGGATCGCTTCTCCCGCAGCTTTTGGGGTGATGGCACAGGGCCGATGCGGTGCCACCACCCCAGCCAGGGAGGTGCAGGGGACCCGCGGGGGGTGGCAGTGCCACAAGGACCTGTGCGCAGGAGGATGGGCTCGGACCAGCGCGTCTCCGCCTTGGGGCCGCCGCAGCCCATCAGCAGGAACTTCACCCTGCGGCGCGTACGGGCTGACACCGGGGGGGAACAGGCCCTGGCTGGCGAATCACCCCAGCTGGGGGGATCTGGGGCTCCTGGCCTTACCTGTAGGGTCCCGGGGAGGGCAGGGGCCCATTGCAGGGGTCCTGCCTGCCCTGCTCCCTGCACGCCGTGTCAGCCCCGACCCGCAGCACGGGCGGGCTCGCTGCCGAGCAGGAAAACGCGGCCGCCGCCGTCTCCAGCGTCATGTAGGAGCGGGCAGAGGGCAGCTGCTGGTACGGGGGCACCTCAGCCCGCGACTGGGGGTTTCTGAAGGCGGCCGATGCTGCAGGCACGGGGAGAGGCTGCCGTGAGGGTCCCCCATGTCCCCTGCCACAGGGGGGACGCGCTGGAGCAGCGAGCGCTCACCGTTGGCGAAGGCCACCGCCAGCCAAACGGCGTCGGAGGCTTCGGCGTGGCCGTCGAAGACGCAGCGGGGCCTCTCCAGCGCGAAGGTGGTGGCAGTGACCTTGCCCAGCAGTGCCATGGGGGGCACCTGGGGCACGTAGGGCAGCCGGGCTGGGGGAGGGGGCAGTGAGCCAGGGGTCCCCCCCGTTCTGCACCTCCCAGCAGGTGCTGACCCCCCGTCCACAGCTGGGCTGGCACACGGGGCTGTCACGAGGTGCCAGCATGAGGGGGACAGCACTGGTGGGGACCCCCCAGCCATGCTCAGCCCCGTAAGCCCTCCCTGGCACAAACACCTCTCAGCCCCTCCCGGCCCTGTCCCACTCTGCCCTGTCCCCCAGAGAGTCACCCAGGTCCGCGGCTGCGCCCGTCCCAGCCAGCGCCAGCAGCACCCACGGCAGCTCCATGGCGTCGTCCTGGTGGTGCTGGATGTGCTGTGCTGCTCAGCTCACCCCGTCCCACTGCCGAGGGGACGAGCTGCCCCCGGTGCCCCCGCAGCAGGGACCGCCTGTGCCGGAGCCGGAGCCTCCCAGCCCCGCATTCCTGCACCGGCTCTGCCGGCCCGGCCGGAGCCCGCGGGCAGAGGGGACAGCTGAGCACGCCGAGGCACCCGCTGGTCCCAAACCCGCTGGGAACCGTCCTGCAGGACCCCCGAGGCACCTGCGAGGAGTCATGGCACAGGACAGTCATGTGAAAGGGGAAACTGAGGCAGAGGAGGCTCTGGGGTGATGTTCCAGGGTGGGTTGGCAGGACTCACACTCTGTTGGCGCTATGGGGGCAGCCAGGCAAATCGTGCTGGACCCCCAGGCGCCCCACCAAGACCCAAGTCCCTGCGGATGCCCTGTGCCCACCAGGGCCCCAGAGCCAGGGGTGAGCCCGTGCCTGACTGGTTCGGGCGCCGCCAGCCCTGCCCCGCGGGCAGGGAAGCGCTGCGGAGCATCACACCCGGACTAACCCAAATCCAGCGCTCAGGTGAACGGTCGCACCCAGCACCAGGGCCGCGGAAGCCTTTTCAGCTCTGGGGCCACCCCGCGCTGACATTTCCCCATCTCTCGTAGCCCTTCCAAGCCCTGGGATGGGGGCAGGGAGCGGGAGTGCCCGCGGCTCGGGAGCCCCTCAGCGCCGCTCCCCCCGCACAGGGCTTGGAGCGCTCCTTCCCCGTGCTTGCCAAGGGGAGCGGCTGCCCGCTCCTGCGTGGGAGGAGATTTCCCCCCCTTGCCAAGGGGCCGGGACAGCGCCTTCAGATTAAGTGGAAATGGGGCATTCAAAGATTATTACATCGTCCAGCTGCAGAGGGGAAAAACAGGCGCAGCTGCAGCCTCCATCCCTCCTCGTTCTTATCTCCCACGCCTGTCCAGCAACACCTGCCCCGGGGACCCCCCAGTTCCCCCAGAGCCTCCCTGGTGCTCCCCGGCCGGCAAGGTGCCAGCAGCAAGGTGCGGGGCAGGGTGGGTGACGCAGGGGGGTGACGCAGGGGGACAGTGAGTCACAGTTTCAGCTGGCGGTACCCAGCATAGCTGCGGGGTCAAGGCTGGGCTAATAATAACCACCCTGTGGCAGATGAGCCATCCCCGCGGGGCTGGGAGAGACACCTCCCCTCTCCTCTCCCTGGGGCTCCAGCTGGGGATGGGGGACACAAGGCGAATGGTGAAATGTGCCTGGGAGCATCATAAGCTTTTATGTGGGGCTCTGTCCCTTCCTGGCTCCGAGAGGAACCATGGTTATACTTTCTCCCCACCTTTCAAAGCATCTCCCTATGCCACCATGCCTGAGCACCTGGCTCTGTTCCCTTGCACCCCTTGGATCCCCCAGCACAGAGAAGGCAAGGATTTTAGGAGATGCCTTGTGTCCAAAAACAGGGCAGTCAGGGCTGAGCTGCTGAGCTTGGCTGGCTCACCACAGCCCAGTGCCCCTGCCCTGGACCAGCCCAGATGCAGGGAGGCTCCAGCTGATTCACACCCAGCAGCAGCTGCTGGAGATGCCTTAGGCCAGGCTCAGCAGGAAATTCTTGCTTTCTACAGGGCTGAATGAACCCTGCTTCAGTTTTTGCTTCAATTCACTGCTTTGATTGCTGGGATAACACGATCCAGGGATACAAAGCTGAGGTTTGAACTCAAGACCTCTCCCTTTTGCAACCAGGGTGGGAGAGGAGCAGTCAGAGCCCATTTGTGTAGAGCTTAGCAGCACAGACACGTCACTGCAGCGCCCAAGGAGCTGCCATTCCTGCAGCAGGCCCAGGTTTCACTGGTGTTCGAGGGGTTTCTCCTTAGAGCCTGCAGGCACAAGATGGACACTGGGGAAAGCCTCACCCCTCAGTGGCTCAGAAAAACCTTTAATCTTTATATTGGCCTAACAGAAAGCAAAGTGTCCCTTATCTGGTCCAGCATGTGCTGGCCCCAGGAGGAGGCCAAGGTAGGGCTGCCACAAACCCAGCCCCAACCCAGATCTCCCAGGAAGGAGGTGAAGTGGCAGATGGCATCAGTGCCAAAGGGGTGGATTGGATGGATTTAACAGGCAGCTGGGTCTGGTGGCTACGGGGAGGGAAAGAGCCAGAAACAGCTCTTCAAAAGGTATCAGTCCCCAGCTGACAACAAACAGCTCTTCAGAAGACATCAACTCCCACATGACACGCAGCCTGGGGACAATACAGCACGGCCACTGGGGCTGGGGCAATATCCACTTGCAAGGTGCCAGCAGCCAGAGCAGGAACAGGCTCTGAGCCACAGCATCGCTGCTGGCACCTGGGCTGGCCACCACTGCTGCTGGGAGGAAGGTGACTGTCACCAGCTGGTGGCACCAGCATCCCTGCAGCAGCAGCACAAAGCACAGCAGCTCTTCCCTGCACAGGCTTCACTGAATTGCTGCCATTTCACCTGAGAGAAGGGGAGAGAGGGACAGGTTCTGCCTCTCATTGTTGGGATGAGAGGAAGGGGGCTGGCAGCTCACAGCCAAGAGCAGAGGGCTGCAGCTTCCCACAGGCTGGACACTGATAAGTCACCTCTGCTGGCACCATGGCCACAGACCACCTAACTCCAGTGGCCAAAGCACTGCCAGGCAGGGACCACAACCCCTGGGAGCAGTGTCTTGCCTGCACTGAGATGTGTGTCCCTCCAGCAGAGCTGAGCTTTCCCTCCTGGCTGGATGAACAGTCCATGGCTCCATGGAGCAGGCTGGTTCCCCAGAGAGAGCCACCCCAAAGGAAGGCAGAGCAGGGTCTTGCTGTGAGAACGAAGAGTTTATTGGGACTGAGCAGAGATACACGGCAGGAGGGAGGCAAGAGGTGCCTCAGACAGGGAGCTGACGTGTCCCAAAAGGAGGACCTTGTGTGACTTCCAGGGGGTCTACTGGAAGCAAGGCACTCTCCCATCCTGTCCCCAGGCATTGCCAAAGGAAGGTCCTGCCTTCCCCAGGGGATCTGACAGGGCATCTGTCACCTCAGTCCCATCCCAGCTGCTCCTGGCTGCAGCCATCAATCCCACCCAGAGACACAAGCCCAGCTTCTACAAAAATATCCTTCCCAACCCCACACCCCCCCACCAAAAAAATGTGAAGAGCGGGCAGGGCTCCCACGGAACTGTTATTGCTCAGTGCGACGGGTGGTCAGACACGGGAACTTAAGGCATCAGGAATAAGTGCACTAGGTGGCCCCTGAGGCTCACTGGCCCAGGCAGTCCTCGGTGACACCCTGGGCAGCCAGCTCTGCCAGCACATTGTCCAGGTAGTTGGGGTCAGGGTAGCCATGGCCACTGAGGTTTGAGTCCATCTCAGTCTTGTGGTGGATCTCGTTCCACACCACCGTGTTGCTCTCGCCGGTGGTGCTGGAGGTGCCCACTGTGAAAATCAGGCGTCTCTTCCAGGCCACCTTCAGGAGCTCCAGGACCTAGAGGGGGAAAGGAAAAACAAAGCTAGGAGCAGCAGCTAGGAGATTTGTGCCATGAATGCAGCTTGTCAGGAGCTTGACAACTTAAGGGTGATATTACCAGGGTGTGATAGCTCACCTTCCTGCCCTTCTCATTGTCTGGTAGGTAACAATAGCGAGGAAAGCCTCTGGCTGTGTATGGCATCCCAGGGTTGGGGTGCTCCGGGCCCTGCAAGAGATGAGACAGATTTGTCATGGACATATCCATCTTCAGATGAATTGGGTAATCCATCAGCAGCAGGATCTGACACAGGCCCATCCCAAACCAGCTCTTCCATGTAGAGGCAGCAAGGTATTGCTGGTGAGTCCAAGATGTGTGACTTGTTCTTATAGGACCATGAGTATTACCGATCCTCCAAAAGCAGTCTCATGCTGGGATACAAAGCCAGATCTAAAAACTACCTAAATTCTGGTGAGAGACAGCCTCAAAACACTGCTTTTTCCATGTGTTCTTGTAACACCTTAAAAAGGTCACTCAGCTCAAACCTTTTAAAGTTCACTCCCACTGCTGAAACCAACATGAGCTGTGAAACCAGACCATGAGATGTTTCCCACCTTGGGATCATGGGCAGTCTCCTCCCTGCTTCAGGCAGACATCAGAGCAGCTGGGGCTACTCAGGAAAAGATCTCTGATGGAGGAGACCCTCACATGTTGAAGAACAACCAGATCAGCTGCTGGCTCCAGGCACCACAGGCTGCTCAGCAAAGGGCTGCCAGCAGGTGCTGCACTGCATCCCACGACTTTTCTGGGAGGCTCTCCCAGCATGTGCTGTGTGCCAGCACACTGAGCACTCACCTGGATGCCCCTGCTGATGTGATACACAATCCTGATTGTCCCACAGTCCTTGTGTCCTGGGAGGGACTGGGGGAAAGTGGAGATCTCCATCTTCCCTTTGGGTTGGGTACCGGTTTTCTCTCCATAGATGGTTTTACAGGAGGGACACTGCAAACTGCCATCCTGCCAGGGGACAGAAGCCACATCAGAGCTGCACAGCCCAGCCACCTGCACACAGGGTGAGGATGGGCCAGCTCAGTACCTTGTTGCCATTGGAGTACATGGCCAGCATGCAGAGCATGTGGAAGGAGTGCTGGCAGTTTCTCAGGCGACCGACTGCCTCTGGCCTGATGGTGCTGGACTGGCACGAGTCGCTGTAGCCCGAGGGGGAGGACAGCTTCTCCATGCAGATCATGCAGTCCTAGAGGAGAAACCACCACGTGGTGTGAGCACAGGCTGCTCCTGAGGACTGACACATCAAGGAAGCCATCAAGGAGATACTTCAGGAAGGTTTGCCTTCAGCTTTAATTGAGATTTAAGGACACAGAGACAGGTTTCCTTATCTGGCTGGTATCACTCCACTCCACTTCCTGCATTGTCCAG